GGATGATAGTCAACATTAAAGGGGAACCTGAGGCAGACTTTTAATCAGGTTGCAACGGTTACTGTTAACATGTCATCTCTACGTTGGTTACTTCAGAAAGGGACGGAGCACACGTGGGAATGTCCGGAGTTCAGTTATGTAAATTCTTGATGTATTGATTGATTCATACATTTATTTTACTCTCTCTCTCTCTGGTTCTTTCCCTTCCTTTATCTTACACTCCACTCTCCACTCTCTTTCTTTATATCCCTCTCTCACTGTCAAATTTCTCTCTTGTCCTTTCCCTCTTCTATCTGCCACCCTCTCATATCCACATCCCTCTCTGTCTTCCACTCTTGCGCCCCCATCCTCTTTCTACCATTCTAAGTACATTCTTCCACACCCCGCAACATCATCTCTAGGTTTCTTTATTTCCAGACATTCTTCTGCATATAATGCTTACATGTTTTGTTCTTTATATCAAGTCTACTGTTTAAGAAGCATCTTTATTTCATTGCTCGTGTCTGATCGAAAACACACTCCCAGTCAGCAGACCACCAGTCTCACATAGAAACTAATCCTTACTGGCATTTGACATTCTACACTTTATTTTCGTTACATGAAGATAACAAAAGCAACATAAAGATTATATTATCTCTACGCTGCTTTTCATTTATTGTAACCTTTATATGATCCTTTTTTCGCAATCACGAGAAGAGGAATGCACAAAGAAACGTCGAACAAATCAGTATAGTTTCTCACATCTTGAGCTTCTGTGTGGCTTCTTACAGGCGAGTGATTGGGTTTCACAATTTCACATTTGAAGCACCAGGGTACAATTTCCCAGGTGGTCAGTTTATCCAGGAAAACAGATAGACCGTTCACCCTGTTTTGTTTAACTTCAGCTACGACTGATAACGTAACATTTACTTTCGTCGTTGCAGTGGCTAGACGGTTGCTCGTAGGCCCGAAGGTCTTGGGTTCAAATCCGCATACAGGTAAACTTTTATAACTGATTTAGGACTCTGGCTGATACAAAGAAAATATTTGACGGAGGAGGGGGCGGGCTGAATTCGGTGCAAGTGGCCTAAGCTTGTTAAAGGGTATACTTATAATAATAATAATGATGGGATAAATCAGAAATAATATTAAAACATATATGAGATTAAATTGAAGTGTACACTTACATCCTCCAATGAAGGTAAAATTGTGACAATAGAGATGAAATGCCTTAGAAGAGCTGCAGGAGTTTCAAGGAAAGACAAAATACGAAATCATGAAATCAGACGAATGCTAGGAATAAAGCCAGTCTTACAGGTCATCAAAGAACAACAAATGAAGTGGTTTGGACACCTAACAAGAATGCCCTGGTACTATCCGCCACAGCGAACCACACTAAAACGTTACAACGGGTATAGATCGAGTGGAAGACCTCGGAAAATATTGAGTGATGGCATTAAGAACAGCCTTACAGAAATGAGCATCAGTCTTAATAGTGCTCTTGACAGAGCCCATCAACGAACATTACATCTCCCCCCGACACTTCGATGAGGTACAAGGTGAAAGAGAAGAAGAAGAAGAAATCGAAGTGTATTTAAAAATGTAATTATTTTTATATTTTTCTCACACTTTTTATTCTAGCGTTTGAATCTTTATTATTATTATTATTATTATTATTATTATTATTATTATTATTATTATTATTATTATTATTATTATTATTATTATTATTATTATTATTATTATTAATATTATTATTATTTTAAACTTCTGTAACATGTAACATTATGTTTCTCACATCCATATCATTAGGGCTTCAATTCGACTTCCAGTTGCTTTTTTTGTGTGTGTCCCTATTTCAAAAGTAAATACCACCACAAAACGAAACATATCACTAAATATTAGCGGACACAGAGGCTATCATGATAATACTTGAGACAAAACCATAGTTGATCTGATCTTTTCCTGAGCAGCCCGACAAGCAAACAACGAACAGCCTCACACTATCTTGGTTGACTAAGTAAATATTTTTATCATCGTAATTGTGTGTTACCATAAGTATAAACTAGCATGCTTCGCCATCCCAAACGATCACCAGAATCACAGATAAGGTCATTGTTCTTATCTCGTTTGTACAGCTCAATGACTCTTTCCCACGCTTTCATGCGCATTTGATATATAGGGCTAGATCTATATTGTATAGACCAATCAGCACTTGGTGGCTGATGTAGTCAGCATTACGTTAACCACCTTTACTTCCTAGGACTTTTTCTGGTACCCACTCAACCTGGGAGCCAAGATCGTTGAAAAAAAAAAAGGATGGCTCTGTGAGGAACCGAACCCACCACCTTCCGATCGGCAAGAGAGCCGTTACACCACACCCACTCCCCCCACCCCCCCCCCGTACGGCTAAGCCATCCACGTATGTAGCTCTTTTCTCTTCCCTTAGCACTCCTTTCAGCAATCTTGCCATTGGTTACCAAGTTCTCAAACATATCCCTCATCATAACATGTCCAGAAAACATAGACTGCCTATGACAAAATTCCGACATCAGTTAGGGTTTAATCAGTCGATACAGACTGTCACTTTTGTTTTTATATTAATCTATCGTAATCTTCGCATTTTTATTAAAAGTATTGTGACTCTGGGCCAGTGGTTCTCACCCTACCTAATGCCGCGACACTTTAATACAGTTCCTTACGAAGTGGCGACCCCCAACAAATATTTTCCTTCAGAACTTCAATGAATTTAGTGGTTTCCAATTGTCTTAGGCGACCCCTGTAAAACGGTCGCTCGACCCCCCCCCCCCCACACCCCCACCCCCCCCCTCCTTCCAAAAAAAAGGGTCGCGACTGGCAGTTTTAGAACCGCTGCTCTGGACGGTACCGTCATACAGTCAAACACAAAATATCACAGTATAATACTGGACACAGAGGCTAGCAGCACAGTACTCTAGATAAATTCCTTATTGCTCTGATCTTCTCCTCAGCAGGAGGACAAGCATACAAGGAACAACCCCGTACAATCTTGGCTGACTAAGCAAAAATAATTTCATCATCGTAACTTTGTGTGACGATAAGCGTAAACTAGCATGTTTCGCTATTCCACAAGATCACCATAATCACAGATAAGGTCATTGTTCTTATCTCCTTTGTACGACTAAGTGACACTTTCCCAAGCCTTCGGGCGTATTGGACATATAGGGCTAGATCTATAGGGCTATATCAATAGGGCTAGATCAATAGGGCTAGATCTATAGGGCTAGATCTATAAAGCTAGATCTATAGGGCTAGATCTATAGGGCTAGATCTATAGGGCTAGATCTATAGGGCTAGATCTATAGGGCTAGATCTATAGGGCTAGATATTTAAAGTTAGATCTATAGGGATATATCTATAGGGCTAGATCTATAGGGCTAGATCTATATGGCTATATCTATAAGTCTAGATCTATAGGGCTAGATCTATAAGGCTAGATATATAAGGCTAGATCTATAGGGCTATATCTATAGGGCTAGATCTATATGGCTATATCTTTAAGTCTAGATCTATAGGGCTAGATCTATAAGGCTAGATATATAAGGCTAGATCTATAAGTCTAGATCTATAGGGCTAGATCTATATGGCTAGATCTAGAGGGCTGTATCTATAGGCTTAGATCTATAGGGCTAGATCTATAGGGGTAGATCTATAGGGCTACATCTATAGGGCTAGATCTATAAAGCTAGATCTAGAGGGCTAGATCAGTTGCAAGACAATGTCTAGTACACCACCAGGAATATGATTTACAACACCGTATTACTTGCAAAATATTTTCTTTTCCGAATGAATTTTACATCAATAAGATAAACATGTGAGCCATTAGAAAATATAATAATAAAAAAAAAGAAAAATACAATTTTCAATAAAATTTGTTGGAATATTTAAACTGTGGTTTAATTTGTGTATAAATTTACTCCATAACAATAATGAGCACAGAGGGGCCGTGGACTCGCCTAACAAAATGGGATTTTTCCTTGCACTGAAGCCGATCCTTTCGACTTTATACGGTGAAAAACGGTGGAATCACTGCTTTTTAGATAAATTCGAAACAAAGTGGAGCCAGACATTTAAAGACAAATTCGAAACAAGGTTGAGTCAGACCATTACAGATTATTACGAAAAAAAATGTGGAATCATTACAGACCATTACAGATAAATTCAGAGAAGGTGGAGTCAGGCCATTACAGTTAAATTTAGAGAAGGTGGAATCAGCCTTTATCGATAAATTTGAAACAAGGTGGAGTCAGACATTGACTGATAAATTCAAAACAAGGTGGAGTCAGCCCTTTACAGATAAATTCAAAAGAAATTGGAGTCAGACCTTTACAGATAAATTCAAAAGAAATTGGAGTCAGACCTTTACAGATAAATTCAAAAGAAATTGGAGTCAGACCTTTACAGATAAATTCAAAAGAAGATGGAATAATCAAACCTTAAAAGATAAATTCAAAAGAAGGTAAAGTTCAACAAATGTTTTTTTTTTTTTTTAACAGGAGAAAAGACGGACCGGTATAGTGGTTGCTGACCCTGCCTGTAAAAATGGGGGTCAAGAAAGACAGGAGTAATTTCCCTTTTATAGCACGGCTCTAAGGTTGATCCAGTCTTATTAAAACACCACACAAAATATTTTAGCAAATTTTAGGAGTTTTCTTAGAGGTGCAGGCGAGGAGAAAGAGACATGACTGCTCTCACTTAAATGTAGTTGTTAAAAATCAATTTTCGTTATACAAAACATAGGTGTTCATAATCATCTACTCACTTCTTGCGCTCTTCGACATATCTGCAACCTTTTCTTTCCATTTTGCAATGTCATTCTTCTCCAGTTGGGTGTATTGTGGTGGACCAGGCAAACTCTGATATATAGGGCGGAGAATGTTTAAACATTCGTCGTCCCCCAGACGTATCATGTTCTTACAGAACATAATACCAATCTGCGTCCAGTTGAAGTGGTCGAGTACGGCTATAAGCGCACCTGCGACATTGTCTAATCCACTCTGCACACGCGTTAGAGTTTTGAATGCTGTTTTGTTTTTAAAATTATCGTACAGAGCTCCTGCTGTAACTACAGGAATACCCCATTCACCACTGTATCTGGCCACTGGTGCAATGGCAAAGGTACACCCTGGGCCGAAATACACATCTGCTTCCTTGGCCCAGTACATGTCGATTGCTGCTAATGGTCCATCAGTACCGGAACAGTTCGAATCCGCCTCATGTATAACAAACCGCACCCCGGGTAAGACAGGGTAGTAGTTACTTTCTATCTTCTCCACAGCAATTTTGATGGCGGGTAACGTTAGCTCCATAGCAAACACCAGGTCTGTGAAATTGGCTTTGCCTGCGATTTGCGTCAAAATGACTCCGATTTTGACTTCAGTCCTGGAAGAAATACTATCGATGCCATGAAAGGTATCCAGGGCGGTTGCTCCACGCAACAGGAAAAGTAAATATACGAATGAAAATATCCAAGTTTGACGAAACAATTTAAAAGCTAGCCAAACAGTCGTTTCAGCATTAGTTTGATAGTATGAAGCTATACTAGTTTGACTTATTCTGTTTAATATTTCGGGCATTTTGCGCAAATAATCAGTTGCAGTTCTTCATCCCAGGCGCTGCAAGATACTCAATGTAAAGAACATGATTTCGTAAATTAAACACTGTTGTGTGCATAGTCAATTCTTTAACAGGTAACACTTTTTTTTTTCTTTAAAGTCATCTGAGGTGAACACAAAATAGAAGATAGTGATTCTGATTTTATAGAAAATCGGCGGAAGAGTCTCACTACATAGCGAACTATTCAGTTCACAATGCTCTGATCCTGTCCTTGGTAAATTCTATAGCTGTTCATTTTATGAAGTCTACGCAGAAAGAGAACGACTTCCCTTGCCATTCATGCCTCTTAAGATCGCATGACCTCTCCTATGTTGTAGGGGTTTCGCGTGTTCCTTATTGTCAACGCTTTAACAAGTCCTCTTTTTCCGTCTCCTCATCACTCGCTTGCGTTTTATTTTTACGTGCTGCTTCCTGCGCGACTCTTCAGGAGTATGGAAACAGCTATATTTTTCTACTACTGCGTTCCGTGTAAGGATGGGGGGGGGGGGGGGGGGGGGGGGAGTGGAGTCACCGTCAAGGAACGTAAAAATACAGAAACACCCCATATTCGATACTCAAGAAACGTAGAGCATGTGACGCTTCCCCCTGCAGTACTTCTTTCTTACTTATACATAGGCACCTGTGACGCCTAAAATATACTCACCACAACACAACCTACATAAACATTACATGCGCTGAGCAAACGCCAAATAAAGCCATATCATAACACCCTTGCAACATAGGAGAGGTCCTGCTACCTTACGAGACACGAATGGCAAGGCAAATCGCTCTCTTCTTGGACCAGGCTTCGTAAAATTAACCCCTACAGAGTTTGGCGGCTGAACATGGTTCTCTGTTGGCTTATGATTGTTCTATGATATTCTGCTTAAGTCTCTTGACCTGCTCTAGCTCTAATCACTTGCTGCTCTTGTAGTGGGACAATGGTTGCCGATTCATCGTCTCAAAAATATATCACGTCTCGTAGAGTTTTCTGTAAATCAGCCTGGTCCAATGCCCGTACGACCTTAGTAGTAATCTTAATAACAGTCTCGAAAGAAATTATTTCACCAAAAAAAAAACAAAAAAAAACTACTCGGGTCTCACGTCATGACAAGAGGACGCTGAAGTACGTTGTGACAACAGGACACCTGTAGACGTAGCAGGGAGAGAGAAGTTGCTAGATGTTGTGGCGTCGTGGCAGAAAAGAAATAATATAGCTCACAATGAAAACTGTTTACCGCCACCAGAGGCAGACATCCCATATTCTTTAGGTACTTTAATAGAAGGGGGATACTGAGTACGTCGTGGCAGGTCGAAAGCTGGAGCGGTAACGAGGTAAAAGCAGGCCAAGTGAGAAGATGTTGGACAATTTGATATCATGCAATAAAGAACATTAGAAATGATTATCAGTACATGAGACAGAAGATTTCATATATAAAAAAAAAAAAAAAAAAAAAGGGGGGGGGGGGAGGGGGATAAGTATGGGGACTTTTGAAGTTCGTAGCGTGCCATGCAAATATTTTTATAGGCTAATGGGTAGTAGGTGGATGGTGGGCCTTACCTTCCCAGAACAAAATCTTCTAGCCATTTTAGGGTTTTATAAAGCGGTATCCAATGTCAGTTTAGAAGAAAAACTGTGACATCCTTGAATGAGAGAGGTTTTAGGAGTAATGTAGGAGGAGCTTAGAAGAAGTTATGAAAGTGTTGACACTAGGACTGGGAATGAAACTCTGTCAAGAGCACGCCATCTGTTGGGCTTAAAACCTAAGCTTGAGACAGAACTTTTGGCATTGTGGTTTCATTCTCCAGGTAAGGAAAATTAGTTTCAAAACCTTTATTTCCTGACAGAAAAATAACTTTTTTTTTTGCTCATGTGTGTGTCTTCATCACTCTGTAGTACTCCTTAGTGGACTTTTCTCCATTCTCTTAGGGCACTGTCACATTGCTTTATATCGTAATTGATATTGTCATGAATGTTTTTTCGTGCACACGTGTTTCAATGTTGTAAAACTTAAATGTTGATGTCACCATTAAAATTTAATGAACTATCAGAGTTTTCTGAAATCACAAGCGTGAAGACAACTTTGGCAGTCTTTTCCTGTGTGGTTAATTTCAAGCTATATTACATACAGCTAACACACTGAAATGTGTTTAACTCCTGGGAGGCTAATGCGGAGATTGATCCCGGTGAGTAAATCCTTGAGATTTGTTATTTGATTCGCCCCAGAAATATTGTTAGCATTCTGGGAGCGTCCATTGTTCCAAGCATGGATTCCAGAACTTGTTCTGTCTGACTGATTGTCATTTTGAGTCACGTGAGTAGAGGAAGGCAGGAAATAAACGGCTTGAATGTGAGACAGAAGCGCTTCCAAACTGGACAGGAGTGAATGTGAACATAAGGGAGACATGAAATGATTTATTTAAATAAACATGTTTGATGTTATTATAATATACATGCTTAGTGTACATCAAGATTAGATACTACACATATGCGCTTGTTTCTTCATCACAGTTCCCACATTGGGCAGGGACTAGTAGGCATCCATTCTTTGCCGACCGTCTGAGTGTAACGACCTGCTTGAAGCAGCGAGAACGACAAACTGGAAAAGGATAGGCAGGGTCTCAAGCTGAGAACTGTCCAAAGGTTTACTTTCTCCATCTTAAAAGTTATGTATAACTTTAATGTCATCAATAACACCGTCTCAACTCTACTAGCCTAAACAAGTTCATTTTAATTTTGGTTAGATTTATTCAATAAATCAAGTTCATGTTGTTATAAAATAGTTGAGTAAATTGTGTACTAAGGTTCAAGTGTCTTTGTGCATACTAGTTTATTTCAGCTGACAAATATTTAAATCACTTGATGGAGGCTTTTAAGTAATGCCAGGAGAGGAGAAAGTCTGAGGGGTTAACTGAGTATCCTGATATTATCTCAGTGGGTTCATCTTGATCTCTATCTATCCCTTCTCCTACTCCTGTGGATACAAGTTCAGCAACTTTCATTTCATGGAACGAGCCACTGGCTGTTTTCTTGGCTATCCAGGACTGTCGAGGATCAACATAGCTTAGATAATAGTCCAGTTTCTCACGTGGGTGGGCATTGTTAAGGTTCAAACCCACACTCTCACTATACCAGTGTATTTACCTACGTGGACTCGCGACACTCATTTTGGATATTACGCCTTGCCCCGACTGGAACTCAAGCTACTTTATTCCTGTCGGGGGCCGTAATTTAACCTTACCGTTGAACAGGGTTTCTGGGACGTGACTATTGTATGTTGCCCTCTTAATATGGGTGGCATTTTTTTGATATTTTGAAATCCGACTCCTGTAGTTGTCGAGGGGTCATAATATAACCTAACGGTTCAACGGAGTGTCTGGGACCTGCGCCCTGATGATTCTCATCCGAATGGTGGCACTTTGTGTCACTGGGCGTTTTATCTCTCGTTGTACGGTCCTGGTGGGGTTGAACTTCATTCATTTGGTTCCTGAGACTTGACAGTGGGGGTTCTCATCCCAGTAATGACGCACTGAACCTTGCGTCCCAGGGTGTGAATTGCCCAATGGGATTCAATATCAGGAGCTTGGCTTAGCGAGCCATTATCCGATTAGACTGCACATGTGGCCTGCGTTGGTGTCGTAATTATAACTTCTAGGCAGGTCAGTCCTTAAGAAAGAGAATAGGGGCCATTGAGCTGAAACGCTATAGAAAAATTATCGGAATATATTGGACAAAGAAGAGGAGAAATACTAAAATCTTGAAAGATGTGATATATTTTGGTCAAATCAAATGCCACGAGGAATTGGGGGAAAAAACAGCAGAAGGCATGGTAACAGGAAGGAGCGGCAGGGGCCGACCGACACGAAGATGAGCACACGATATAAGAGACTCCCTGAGAATGAGAGTGCATGAGGCGGGAGAGCTGGCGAGAGACAGAGTTTCTTTCAGTCAGACCGTGATGAGGGCAACATTCTGCAAAGGACCTGCCACATGATGATGAGGCAGATTGAACGGGGTTATCTGGGATCTACATTGCTGGTCGACCGTCAGAATTGACAAATCTCAGGATGGTATTGTAAACATTCAGGAAGCAGAGCGGAGAAATACACCGGTCGTTCGGTTTAGCGCAGAGGATTGTGTCGTTTCCTGCTAGACTGATTTTTCATGTGTTCGCATTCCAATCTCGCCCCCCCCCCCCCACCCCCGCTTTTACCAATACATTAATTTGCAAATGTAATATCTAATGTAAACATGTATTTAGGAACATGTACTGAGAAGGCAATCTAGAGGAGACTGACCTGTACAATAATGGGTTATTACGGAATACCACTCAGCGTCTGTAGCTAAGGCGTTGGCAACCCACTTCGTAATTCAGAGCTGCCCGGATCGATTGCAACTGCAAGTAATTTGGCAGCAGACCGCATTACGTCGATTTCGACAGCGGTATCGAGAGCAAACCGTTTAGACAGCAGTGGCAAACTACTGAACGTAAAATTGCTTAGTAAATCCCAAAACTGCCATCCAATGCTGTGGATTTCTTCAACGTCCTTACCTGAATTCCAAATACGATCCAATGCCTTGCAATGGGAAATTAATGTTAATGCAATACTTCCTGGTTGTAAATTCGAAAACAGGAGAGATTCACGAAGGACAAGGACAATTTATGGCAGGATCATTTACTTACTTCGCCTTGGTTAGTTAAGCAATGGGCACCTGACGATACACAGTGCAGTATGTGAGAAAATAATGCTTGTATTTTCTTTGTTCAAATAGTGGTTTTATTTTTTTCTCTTACATTAATTAAAATGTTAACATTCGTTAGGCTCCATCTATTCTCATTTTTTTTATCTTTAAAAGAGCGACTGGCACACTTGGATTGTGGTTTACAGTTTGGTTACTATATTTGTCCTTTCGGCCCAGCACATCCGACTTCAACAACCCCTAACTTGTCGAGTTGTAGGACTTTTTTTTCTGTTCGGG